ATGTCTAAGAGAGTTTATTGTTGTTATTCAAAGAAGGTCTAAAAGAGTTTATTGGTTGCAATGACAGAACATGTTACCAAAATCCCTTCTGCTTAACATTAGGCCTTAAGGACCAAAACCAGAATGTGGACATTGCTCTGCAGTATTGCTAGGCTATATACATACATGCATAAGTATGTATATATATAGTGTCTGCATTGATAGCTATTTGACAATGCATATATACATGGTTATTTTTCTTTTCTGAGGTGGTAAAAGGGCTATTATTTTGTAATATCTAAGACGTCACTTTTAAAAATGGATTGAATTGATGACAAATTGTTTTTCTTTTTGTCATGATTCCTATTGTCTTTTTGTTTTCCTTTTAAAAGTTTTTGATACTCTTGTGAGCTTTCAATTGTCATGATTCATGTTGTTCTTTGTTGGGGTTATTGCAATTATTTTCTTCTTTCCTACTATGTTATATTTGTTGGATCACGGTAGTTTTTCTATTCTTATACTTCTTAATTTCTTTTAGTTAGCCCTGGTCGTTTAACAAAATCCAAATAATAGCTTGATATGTTAGTGATAGAATATTAGTGATGCAATGTGATTAAGTTAGCAGCTCTTGGTCTGAAAATAATTGATTTGTTTGGGCAGGACCTTGATATATTAATGATAGAAATTGAGTTGAAAAGGATAAATGTTGGATGTCTGCTGATAGAAGCACTTCTATAAAGCATTTCTGTGGACTTCGTGCAATACCATGTTCGTGTATTGTAATATACACGAGGTAACTATTATAATTTGAATACAACTGCCTAATTAGATAAAGCTGGTCTTTACTCATGGGAAAATTAGAAGTTGCAAAGTCAATAGATGAACAAATTAGTTTCTCTAATAGCTAAAGACAGTAATCATCTTAATCTTATTTCTTACTATACTATTTCTCTACCAATGTTAAGAGAATAGGAGGTTTGTTATTGTATAACCAATTCGAAGCATGTGCATAACAAAACTAAAATGGATTGAAAGAAAAAATCTTTGTCAAGTTGTTGTATATATGGACTGAGAATCTGTGCTCTACTTTTCAGGCACCTTTATATAGTCTTAGAGGATTCAAATATGTTGGACCTGATTTGTTTTGTGGATCCTGCACTCTTCTCTGCGGAAGGTTTTAGGTTTCATCAAAGGGAAAATGCTTTGCTTACTAAGCTGAATGATTCTATGGTGAACCAATTAGTTTTTGCCCCCTACAATTCAGGGTGAGTTTTCTAAAACTAAGTTGAAATGTTAGGATTAGGTTGAATGATTCTATGAAATTTTTTATCAAAATTGATGTGCTATGCATGCTTGAAATTTAGGAATCATTGGATGCTAACGGTCATTGACCCTTACAATGACTTGATGTATTTGTTGGACCCTCTTCATTAAGGCATTTTTTATGAGGAATGGAAGAAAATTGTGAATTGGTAAGAAAAACATTTGTTATTCAATGCCCTGCTATTTTCTTTTTTATCCTCTAATGGTATTGAGAATCTCATTGTAACACAAACGGTACAGTACATGGTACATGCTCTTAATCTTAGTTATGCTTAGGTTCTTTCTCTAAAGAGAATATTTATATTTTCTGTTGTAAAGTGCGCTGAAAAATTAAATGTGTTCAAGAAGAGGAAGGGAAAGAAAGCTCCCATTTGGAAAGCACTTAAGGTATAAAACTGATTTTTATGTTTAAGCTCTCTTTAATTTGAGAAGATTTTAGTCTCCTTATCAATGTCGACATTTATTTTTTTATAGTGCCCTCGTCAACCAACAAACACGGAGTGTGGATATTTTGTCATGAAGTATGTGAAGGAAATCATAGAAAATCGATGTTCACTAATAATGGAAAAGGTATGTAGTTGCAAGGGATGATAAATTCTTATGTATATATCATAAATTGTTCAGCCATATAATGCATTGAAAAGGTGTTTCTATATACTTGACAATGGATTTCATATTCTGTTTGCTCTTCTCTCTGTTTTTTTCTTTCTTTTTTCCTTTTTTTTTTTTTTTTTCAGTAATCGGGGCTGATGCTTTGTTTTACTGCATTGCTAATTTAGATTGTCACTTTTATAAAGCTATTACTTGTGGCTTGTTTTATTCTTTATCATTAATAAAATTCTTTTGTTTCTCATAAAAAAAAAGTATCTTGCTAGATTATCTAATGATCTTAATCATATTTGCAGTTGAATGAAAAGGAGACATACACTTAAATGGAGCTTGATGATGTGCGATCTGAGTGGGCTAATTGCATTGCGAATTACTTTTAGAAATAGCCATTGAGTTTACAGAGACAATTCACTTGGTTAGAGTTTGTGTTGTCTTATAAACAAACAACTGATCATGTTCATGTTTAATGGTTTGTGTTGTCATGTTGTGTTCGTTATGGGTGACACTAATGATCATTTGCATAATTATATACAAAAAACAACATAATTCACATGCCTTCATGAAGTTATTAAACATGATAATTTCGTGCATGATAAGTTTAAAAAATCTACACTATTATATATTCCACACTTTTAAACTTACTGATATTAGAATTCATGCATGTCGTTTGATTCTGATATATATGATTATGATGTTGATGATCAAAATTTTATATACATGAAATAGTGTTAAAAATGTCCTACCAATATTGAAGTTTCTTCAAAGTATATTAATATATAGCTAACTGAAGTACATAAAATTTGGTACAACAATTGCATGTGCATGGCAGTTTGCTAATATAATCAGATCCGTTGTGCTATTGGCATGCGTGAGGAAGAAAACAAGTAACTAAGCAAGGGAACTTCCTTGTGGCTTTATTAATGGTGGGTATTCAAAAATAACGGAATAGAATCATACAATATGGTGTATGAATGAAACAAAGGTTTTAAGACGTGTTCATAAACTACTTTCTCTCTCCCCAAACTATATTTTTCATTTTTGATGAAATTAAAGTGAACTAGTGAATTCACTAGATGGGATTGGCCCTTAAGCACATTGACCACACCCTAACTAAGTGGAGCTTTTTACAATCCCAAAACCATGGGAACTCAACTCACTCCAACTCCAAGTCTTTGTCTTGTTTGAGTAGAGAGAGAGATAGATGATGGCCTGATGTGGTGGCCAATGTTTTAAAGAGATTAGAGAGGATGAGACGGAAAGCAAATGCACTGTTGTACTTGTACCCATTCCACTCAACTCCACCTCTCTCTCCACTTTAATATTTGATTATTTGTTTCAAAATCATAATGTGGGAACCAACAACGGACACGCTCTGATCCGCTTATGGGCCCCACTGACACGTAATGATACGTGATTTTTTCATCACCACCGGTCACCTCGTTTCCTGAGTGCATGACCTCGTTTCCCGAGTACATATGCATGCCTCTACATAAAACATGCCTCTACTTAAATATTCCCCCTTTTCCCACTAAAGAACAACCTTTTTTTGTTTTTTGTTTTTTTTTTCATTGACTTTGGGTCTTTTGTTTTTGTTTTTTTTTCTTTGTTTAATAAAGGTCATTATAATCTATTTTCGTTCATTTCGTCGATTTAAATTTAAATTTTAAATTTTATTATAATAAAAATCTCTCATAAATAATTATATCTAATTTTTTTACTCCAGTAAAAAACTCTCATATAAAGTTACATCTCAACTCAAATTAAAAATTCAAATCAACAAACTAAATAGACTCTAATGACATGTTGTATATAAAGAGAATTTATATTAAAGATATATATATAAAAAAAGAAATCTTCAATTTTTTTTTAAACTTTATTAAATTTCTCTACTTTTGATATAAGGTACACCAGTAAAAAAATAATAATAATAAAGAATAATTTTCGTATTTAGGGTCCGTTTAATTCGTTGATTCAAATTTTTAATTCGAGTTGAGATGTAACTTTATGTGAAAGTTTTTTACTATATCAAAAAAATTAAATGTGACTGTTTCTGAGAGCTTTTTACTGTAGTAAAACTCGAATCGGTGAAATGACCAAGGTTTAAATTTGAGAAATATACTTCTTCTTTTCAATAGTTTGAGTTGAAAAATGAATTTTATATAAGATAAAACACTGTAGTAAAAAAGTTAAATTTATTTTTTTTTAAAGATAAAACACTATAGTAAAAAATTTGAGTTCGAAATTGTAAAAGAATGAAATGATAATCATCCTATAACATTTAAGGTCGTCTGTTAATACATTTTTATAATCTTTTAAATCAGTGAAATTAGAAAGTCAGACATAACACCTTTTTGGATTAAAAATTGAAATAAAAAGACAAAATACATAAAACCCTAAAACAAAACATGTGTGTATATATATTTAGAAATTGCAAATCTATCGCCCATAATATTTTTCGTAGAACATAAGATTTTTTTTTCCAAAAACTATTTAAAGTGTTTTTTCTCTTCACCTCCTTTTATTTAGTTCAAAAAGTGTATGAAGGATAAAGGAGAAATATATATTTCAAATTTAAAGGATTTCTTTGTAGTTGTTAGAAATAAACGGACAAAACTGAGAAAAAATTGCAACTAAAGCTTAATTAGAGGAATGCCACTTTTAGAGAGTTGAAAAACATAATTTTTCAGAAAAATTGGAGCCTAACTTTCACATCAAAGCCATATATGTAAATAACTAGACGTCAAAAAACCTAATTTGCACACAGTATTTTTATGTAATTAACTCCAAAACAAAAGTTTGGTCAAGTCCTAACTTGGGACTAATTTACACTATCACATAGGATTGCATCAGCCCAGCCCGTGGAAGACTGAGGTCCAAATTTCCTCCCAAGAGAAGGTGACTCCAAGGCCCATGCTCCTTACAATGAGTCCGGTAACTAATAATGGGCCTAAGGAAGGCCCAATAACGTTTTAATGAAAGTAAACATCTTCAGAATTACCAATAACGACCCCAGCACATGTACTTATCTTCTAATCCTTCCATCAGGAAATAAATAAATTATTATGCTCCAAACTTCATCAATTCAACAGTTCAATGAAAAAAAATTGTATTCAAATCCATAAATTTAGACGCAATTTAAAGTTACAAACATTACTAACTAGTAACTATGTGCAAAACTAACATGTGTATAACAAAAGGTACACAGTAAGTAATAAATAAAAGGTTCTCTGTAGGGAGAAACAAAAGCTTCAGATTTTTTTTTTCCCTTCTCCAGAGTCAATGTTAACACATCAAAATCTTCTCCCTCCTAGCTAGATATGGAACTAAGAAATATTATTGCCGAGAAATTGGCGCCATCGGCATCGAAGATGGCTGGTTGTAGAAATTACCATCTGGACCCTGGAAAGTCTGGTAAGAATTTGCTGTTGTTGAGTAGGGAGAAACCCCATTCAGAGGAGCCCCCACTGTTGTATAACCAGGCATTGTAGGTGGTGCTTGTTGGGTTATGCTGTAGCTGTATGGTACATTGGCCATGGACCCAGTAGCAGTCTGCATAAATTGGGGCACTGGGTACTGCGGCATTGGTGGTAGTGGTGGCAACGGTGGAGGCGACGACGATGGAGGAGGTGGCGGCTCGCTTGGATTGAATTGTTGGCTGGTGTCGGGATGAGGAAAGGGAGAAACCGGTGGTGGTTGAGTATTCTGAGGAACATACGGTGATTGGTCATTCTCGAGCTTAGGCCTCTTTTCAGATGGATAGTCACCAGAGGATTCTTTCATTGTGTTGCCTATGACACCCTCCGACGCCAAGGAGGATAGAACATAAGAGAGCATCTGAGCGGAGGATGTTGAGGCAGTTAGTTTTGCCGCCACTGCTGCAGCTGCAGATTTGCGGGGATCTTCCTCCATGTGTACCGATTTTTCAGGAAAAGGCGCTGCATGGGTGTACATTACCGGTGCAGATTGCTCCTTATCTCCTGCTATTAAGCTGTGTGGCACTACGGAAGTGTGAACCTCCTTGGGACCATGGTTAGCTAGCGACAGCGGCACATTGTCATGGCCTACTAATTGACGGCAGATAGTAGTGGCGTGCTCTGACTGGGATTGCGCAGCCTGGGAAACAAAACATATTCAAAACACAAGTACCATATACAAGTAGGACTTTTACATTATGTTTAGTAGAGGAGGAAAGTGGTAGGAAAAGAAGAAAAAAGGGCAGAGTTTTTAAGAAAATGGATTAGTGGGTTGTTTGATACAAGCGCAAAGAGAAAGTAAGAGAAAACTGAGGGGATGAAAGGATCAATGGGTTGCCATTTATTATCCCTCCAATAGCAGAGAGATTATTTTGAGAAGAAACTTGTTACATCTTATATATAAAGTCAAATTTCTCTTTTGTCCTCATTTCAAAAGTAATAACGTCGTTACTCTCACTTATATGTCCTATTCCTCCTTATGTAACCTTCTACCTATGAAAGGGAGTGTAATCAATGCATGTATGTAAAAGGAAACGAAAATCTTAACATATAATGAAAGACGAGACGACCGGTTGGGTTAAAAGCTTTGCCTTCATCAATTTACCAAAAAAACAAGAACTATTACAAAAAAGAAAAAGTGGGAACAAAAGACGTTTTCGGAGTTGGATTTAAGAACACCAAACCTGAAGTTGATTACGGACTTGATCCAGCTTAGATTCCTGCAAACAAAACCAAATCAGCTGCGCGTACTTGTCCACATATTTGTATTTATATGAACAATTCGTAACTACAAAGTAGCCTGCCAACAAACCTGCTCTCTTAGAGCCTCTTGCAGAAGAGACACAAGACTAGCTCTTGACGATTCAACTGTCGTTAGTTGTTCAATACAGTCTTGCAGTACAGAATTCTGCCCCTGCAGATCCTCCACAAGTGTAGATCCATGAAATTTCCCTGCCCCCAAAAAGAAGATTTAGAAATTTGTTTCAGTCCGAGCACCTTTTTCTATTTTTTTTCCCTTCAAATATATCAAGTTTAATTGGCTTTTTGAAGTTTAGACCACAAAAACATCTGATTTCTGGATATCAAAATATGTGTACATATATATTTATCTTAGGAATATTGTACTTAAGGTTTGTATGATAAAGTTTTAAAAAATGAGGTGCGTTTGGTTGCAATGAGAGAATGGTAATGGGGATGGAAATTAGAATGGTAATGGAATATAATGGAAAGGAAAGATGATTCATTTGTTTGGTTCTACTTTTACAAATGCAATGGAATGGGATATGAATATTTTTATGTTGACAAAATTACCCATCATGCTAATATAACTATATATATTAATATAATAATTTAATAACTAATATTATATATATAATTATAAGGATATAATATACATAATTATAATTATAGTTATATAATATTTATTATTAAAATACAATCATACTATATAATATAATAAAATAATGATATTGTGATTAGTTTATATTATAATGTTACCACTATATATATTATATTATTAGAAATATAGTATAATTATAAAAATGTAATAATAGAATATAATATAACATGTTATAATTATAATATATAATATAGTATATTTCATTTTTAATTATAGTATATTATCTATTATTTATTATAATATAAATTTATATTGTAATTATATAAATAAATAATTATAATATTATAAAATATAATATCTAATTATAATTATAATATTATATATTTAAAATAATAAAATCTTAATTTTTATTATAGCTATTATATTATTAATGACAACATCACATCTATATAATATAATATAACATAACATAATATAATATAATAATATTATTTATAAAATATATGATTATTATATTTAATTTTATAAAAAATACTACTATCCCTATAATTACAATAATAATTATTATAATATTTATAATTATAATATTCAAGGGTAATGATGGAAAAGAAAATTAAAAGAGCTTGGAATGGACATTCTTCTCATGTGAGGAAGGAATGATGATTTACCCATTTAATGGGAAAGTCATTTCATTTTGAATGGCCATTCCTTTTCTTAAAACCAACCAAACATAAGAAAAAACCTTAATTCCTTTCCATTCTCCCGAACCAAACACACCCTAAGTGAGTATGGCTGGAATTTTTGAACTTTTAGGCCTCGTTCACTTCGCGGATTCGAGTTTTCAATTCGAGCTGAGATGTGACATTTTGTGAGAATTTTTCACTGTAGTAGAAAAAGTTAGATGTGACATTTTCTGAGAGCTTTTTACTGTAGAAACCTAGAACTGAAAACTCAAATCGGTGAAATGAACGAGGTCTTAAATTATCAGCTCTGAGTGGGGACAAAATGAGTGTTTAATTGAATTTTTTAAGATTTCTACAGAAGTTAACAAGTACAAAATCATGAGGGGAAAAAACGAAAGTTTAAATTGAAAAGTTTAATATTCAGTTTCTCATCATTCCAATATTCCGATAAAATAACCTAAATATGAATGGAAGCAAATAAACTCTACTCAAATTAAATCGTCGCAATCAATGTGCACACACCAAGCTTGCGACTAACCTAGTATTAGTCTAACAGAAAGAGACTGAGGGAATGTGAACATGCAACACATATAAATCATTACAAACAAGACATGTTGAACATACAATCGCAAGAATATACCTGCATTGATATCACTACCGATTTCCTTATCTACTTTCTCAACAAAGTTGATAGCATTCCTACATTTGCTCAGTATTACGTCTTCCTCCATATGCCCATAAACAACATGATAACCTGAAACTATTTTTTCCAGCGTATTTCCAGCAGAATGTTTCTGTTCCAACAAATGGACAAAAAAGAGAGAGAACGAGTCAACACTCAAAAATCATATACACAAGTATTTGTTTTTAACCAAAACCTCAAAAAGAGGAAGGAAAAGAATATAGGAAACCTATTTAGTTGCACTGCCTGCTAATATAATTTGAATTACCAGTTTGACGTTCAAAGGCTTTCCATTTCTGTTATTGTTTTCCAGGTGCCTTCCCATAAGCTCTTCCTTTAGAATTTGCCCCCGAGAACCAAACACTTTTCTTTCTTCCCATATGCTAATCTATATGAGTTAAAAGAAAAGAAAGTATTAGCAATATCTCCTGCTATTTTTCAAGCTAAAAACATACTAATGAATGCCTCGCCAAAATTTCCCAGGTTTGAAATTTTCCATTATGATATCAGTCTGGTTGCAAAGTAATCAAAATTACAAAATAGCACTTTTTTGTAGACATCATACAAATTCAATGGAATACCCAAAAGAAAAAGGGTTTATTCAGAGAAACTCATCAATTAGAAAGCAAACACCCACACAAGGATAAAAAAGCTATACCCCCCAACCCACGAGGCATCATTAAAAGTAAGCCTCTTCAAAAGTACATTGTCCTTAGATGTCCAAAAATACTGCTGTCTTCGGGGAGAATAAATTTAGAAATCATGTAAGTGTACTTGAGTAGAAGACCAGTATGGAGAGTTAGATGAGAATACCAGTCGTAGTGCTGCATTTCTTCCAAATTCATCTCCGTTTTCAACTACATCACGAAGAGCATCTGGAAGAACTTTCCAAAATTCACCAACAAACTCTGAGCCTTTGCGCCTACTGTTCTGCAGAATATCATTTGCTAGGTACAGAAAAGCCAATCTTTGGTCACGCGGGGAGCAATGAAATTGCCTATCCCATGTTTCAACAACTTGTCTTGCTTTGTTCATGTGGAAAATACACCAGTGCGATAGAGCTTCACATCATTAAGGATAACAGCTAAGCAAATTAGTAAGCAAAGAAATAACTGATTTTCGGAAATAAATTTGAAATGATGAAAACAAATAAATAACTCTTTTAGAATTCCATACAGAGAAGAAATATAATATCAGAATTTCATACAAAAGCTATTCATTTCTTATTAGACATAACAATATATGTACTAAATGAATATGTTTCTTAACAATGGATTACAAAACGAAATATTTACAAATAAAGGTATCTGACATGAGGAGATCATTTGTTGTTGTCATCAAGGTTCAAGAAAAGAAATACAAGTGTATGTAAGAAAACCAACAGTACATAGCTTAAAACAAAATATCACGAGCTGACAACCATAAAAAAGCAATTCATTTCTGATTCGTATATCGTGAGGATACTCTCTATGCTGGTCTGAGTATTGTTGAGCTTGGTTAGCTTTTCCACAAAGATTTGTGGATTGAATGTACTGCCCATGATTTCCACAAGGATTGAGCTCTACAGTTGAAGCTTTATTGCAGACCTTTTAAAGCAAAGGAACCTTCACACGACAATGAAATTCACTTTAGAAAACCACAAGATATCCTACACGAAAAAGAAAAAAAAAATTATTGAAATAAAGGGAACAGAAATAACAAAATCAACTGTATAAAACGTGATCTAAAAACATTTAAAAAAAAAAAAAAACAAAGAAAAGAACAACAATTTAGAGCTCATTAATTGTTGACGGACCTTTGGAAATAATCTTTCCATCATGATTAGCATTATTTCCACATACCATATGTATGTGTTTGTATACGCGTGTGTGTATAACATAACCAATCAGAAAATAAAAATTCACTTACCACATCACTTGACACTTAAACTTGGTAGATTACTTGGGAATCCTGTCACACTCCAATTCTATTTTCTAATTCTTTACTCATCAGGATTGCATTTGTGTTAAACTATTTAGAGTCAATTTCTCAAAAATTCAAATTATCAATTTCAACATTCAGTGATGATTCAATTAAACACCCAAAAACAAAACTCTTCTGCAATTCAAAACCTAAAATTTGCTTCAGTATTATCAACTGTGTTCATCCAACTCAACCAGTCACAAGGATTCTTGCCTAAAAAATCGCCACACAGTTTTTTTTTTAAATAAATAAACAAAGCAGGATAATAAGACAAATAAGAAATTCGGACCAAACGACAAGAAAGTAAAGCCCTAAACGGCAACGAAAACGAGTAATGAGATCAATAATTGGAAGCCCTAAAGTTAGGGAAGGAACCTGTTGAGAAAAAAATGGCGGCGACTGAGGTATTATTGAAGAATCAGAAGAAGCAGGTGAAACCGGAATGCTCTGGCTCTTCTTCCATGGAAGATTCTAGAAGAATTAGGGGGAATTTTCTGGATAATTTTATGGAATCGAAAACTCCAAACTCCGAAGAACTGTGAAGTGGTTTTATCTGAGGAGATTATTATTATCTTCTGTCGAACGGCTATGGTTTTGAGTGTTGTTTGTTGTTACAACTTGTGTTTAGTTCGCTTGACGTGAGACAGTTGTGGAAAATTCCGTGATGGATTCGATAAATTGCGAAACTACCCCTCCGTGTTGGTAAATTTGCCATTTTGGGCTCGTGAAATTATGAAAACCTAAGTACACTGCCGCGTTGCAGAGAGAGAGAGAGAATCTAAGGAGGGTAAAGAAGTATCTTTCATTTTTATTTTTTCATTTTTCATTTTGTTTTTAAATTTGCTAAAAGGGTAAAAAAAAAAGTATCTTGTTGCGTCGCCTACGTGCGCTTTTCATTTATTGTCTCGGGTCGTACGTATCTTTACCCGGCCCGTTGTTTAAAATTGGGCTTCATTTTTTTTTTCCTTTCTACCGGTTATTAGTTAATCTTATTGAGATATTTAGGCAATATGCATGGTTTTTAAGGTTTGGTTGATTTTTACTATGAGTATTAAAATTATTATAAAATATACTATAATAATATCATTTAAGTTTTGTGTTTTGATCAAAATTATACTTATATTTTTACGTATTTGATTTTGTATTTTAAATTTTACAATACGTTTTGTGATTTTTCATGTATATATGTAAGATTTTTATGGATTTTACGATTTTTAAGTATATTTAGCTGTGACATTCTTTGTAATAGTTTATGTCTCATAACATATTTCAATCCAAATTCAAAACCTGTGGTATTCCTATAAAGTGCCCAATTCTATTTCTAGTTTGAAATTATAGTTGACTGAGCTTGTTCATTCGTTAGTTTAAATCACAACTCAAGGTTTACAGTGTTTTTTTTTCGTAAAAATTCAAATTCAACTTTTTCTCCTACAATGTTTTCTTTCATGTGAATTCACTTTTTAATTCAAGTTTTCAACTCAAACGAGCGAAACGAACGGGGCCTAATATTTAGTTGTAATTTTTAAAATATTTTAGAATCAGTACTTAAACAATTAAGTCGTCACAAATCAATCTTTATGTCAATTCTTCGATTGTTAAGATTTTAATAAAATTTAACATGATTTTCTTTTACCAGTCATGCTTCAACATGTAAAATTACAAAATTAACATCTACTAAACCACACATGGTACTCGTATATGAAAAAGATTTAAGTATTAGATAGACAAAATTATAAATTTGGATGGTTTCATAAATGACTTATGGGATAATTGTTTGGCAGAGCTTTCTAAGGGATTGTCTCTAGTAGGCCATCTTATCGGTATGACTAGTTTTTTGATTGTTAGGTATGATCAAATCAAATGAGATTGAAAAAATATGTAAAACATGCAATTTTTGAAGCATGTTTCACAGTTAAAACTGATTAAAAAAAAATAGAATTACTAATAGTTTCATTTTTCTAGTATTACGAGAGAAACTCCCGCTTTCTAAATGTTGCTTTGGGCTTTGTGGGTTTCAAAATAGCTTTGAGAGTGTTTGGATAATCCCTTATAAGAGTTTTGCCTTTTCCGAATAGTTACTAGTAAAAGTAACAAAATGTGGCTTTTCAAAAAAGCCATTCAGTATATAATTTGAAACTTATACTAGAATTTCAACAAGATTGTAACATTTTTTTTTGTTATTATAACATTTAAAAATCATTTTGACTTATTTAAACTTTTTTAAAAACATAATTTCAAACACTCACGGAAGAGTTACAACTTCTACATATTTTCTTTTGTTGGCTAAGAGTAAAAATAAAAACTCTGCTAAATTGCCTGTAAATGAATAGGTACATTGTGACTTAAAAAAAAAAAAATGTATAAACGAAAGCTCAACATAAAATGATAAATTAACAAGTTGGCATATGGCCATAACCATATGGTGCTTTGAGTATATTTTAAAAAATTTTACGAAACAAAAGAAATTAAAGGAAAAGGATAAAAGAAATCCATAAAATAAACTAGTATATTGATATTTCATAACGTCGGCTGTCCAATGTATTTGGGCTGGAAAATATACATTCGGCAATGTCAAAGGGCATTAATTATGGTACAATTTTGTGGCATTATGCGATACCACAAAATTGTAAATTGTAAAATGAAGAAAAGAAAAGGAAAAAATTTGTTGAAATGAACAAAAATTGTAAGTAGATTAGCCAAAAAAAAAAAAAAGGAATTGTAAGTCAATCTAGCGGAGTGAGTCCATCAGCATCTGTACTTGCCAGGAATGCTTTGGTCATTTGACCACAGGAAATGACCAAATCAACCTCGTAATTCTAATATAATTGCCACGCGTGGCAAAGCCATTGGACTCATTCCCCAGACCTTTTTCTGTCCCATATGATTATATCGTTATTTTTCATGCACGCTGACATTTTTCTAATCATCAAAGATGACGACGAGAGATCACATTTGATCACTGTTTCCTCCTTGCCATAGGCGTGGTGTTCCCATCAAAAAGCTCATCAATGTAGTTCTCCAAATCCTCAGGCTGAAACTTGACATACTTCTCCGTCTGCCTTCCCGGATCCAAGTACTGCGAGAACCTCCCCAAGAACGCCCTGTACGCCGGAATCACCACCGCCGTTATCGACACCCTAAGCTCCGACTGCAGCTGCTCGTCGCTCACCACCCACGAACTCTGCGTCCGATGAATCTCCTCGAACATCGCGTTGAAGCTCTTGAACCTCTCCTTCAGCACCGGCTTTTTCGCCACTTTCCCGTTTACCACGTTCAGTCCCTCGTGACTCAAACACCCCAGGAGTTTGCTCCACGTCTCTCTCTGATAGTTCTTGTGGAACTGCCTCAGCTCCGACGACTTCCTTCGGCACCACGTGTCCCCCATCAAACCGTTGATCTCCGCCGAGGTCTTGATCTTCTGTAATATGTACCGTCCGTTGTTCATCATGAAGATCGAGCTCAGCGCGACGTCCTTGTACACCTTTGATTTCGTTTCTAGGTTCGAGTCCAGCAGATCCATTACTCTAATCAGCTGGACCGAAAACGGCGATACTTCGTCATCTTTTCGGTCATCGGTTTTGGAATGTTCCTTGAAGACTTGCTCAATCGTGTCTTTGTACTCGCAGGCGTACTTGAGGTAATTTATGGTGTAGCGCGTCAGCGGATGAACCGCACCGCCGGGCACCGGAGTTCTCCCCGTGTCGGCTTTGATCGAGTTCTCCAAATCGCAGAATATGCATATTGCGGCCTCGCCGAGGCGGGACCGGGCCAGGGAGGTCTCCGTACTGAGCTCGGCGGCGCACTCGTCGGCTGGGAAGAGGCCGTCCATCTTTGGAACCATGTCGCGCAAGGTCTCGTACATGTCCAGCGTCTTGAACAGCTTCTCCGCCGAGCGCTTCGACATCGCGATGCCCTCCGAGAAATCCAGAAGCTGTATTACCACTCCTCTGGCTAGGTTGCTGAACAGACTCGCCGCAATCGATGGGTTATGATCGGAAAACACTGCCTCCGCCAGGCTCCGCTCCTCCGCAAAATGGACGGTCGCGCATTGCCTAAACATATATATAAAAATATGATCAATATTAATTATAAAAATAATTATTTCGCGGATTAAAATGATTTCAATATATATTGCCTGAAGGTGTTGATCCAGGCAGGGACGATCTCTCTCTCGAGGGATTCCCAGTGCATCTTCTGAACATCGTCGATGGTGATCTTCTCGAATCCCAAGCTCTGCAAGATCTCCTCCAGCGCGTTCCTCCTCGCGATCATGTAAACCTCGCAGCATTCTGACTCATATCCTCCGAAAATCATCTCCTTCGCGATCTTGTTCATGCTTAAAACGACGTCGCGAGTATACCCCGGGAATATTGTAGTACTTTGATCATCCGAATTATTATTCTTAATATTGTCGCCAGCATCGCTATTAATATTATCCGAATCTTCAACGGTCTTGGAATCTTCGAGAAGCGATCGGAATTCTTCTTGGAGATACGCCATGGCACGCTGTTGGACGCTTCCGATGCGATTAATCAGAGAAATACTATTCTCCTCCGATTTGGAATTAACGACATTTAACTGCTTGTGCAGCTTTGATACTCTGTTTACAGATTCCAGAAATGCTGTCTCGCAATGATTATATTTCTTATTTGATTCGCGCTTCGTGATCTTTTCTTCGACGAGGTCCAGGAACTCGTTGATGACGGAATCTGCAGGCACGGCCTCGATCGACGCGTCGTCGTTGACGAACCGAACGATTTCTTCGGAGGCCTTCTTTATGGTGGTTTGATCAGGAGCTTCATTGCCATCAGCTTGAGGAGGAAGAGGAGGAGTCTCTTCTTTAATTGGTAGCTCCTCCTCCGCAGCGACCTCCGTTTTGGTATTGCCGATCAGTTTTCCGTTAATGAAATCCTCTTCTGAAAGGTCCTTATTCTCCATTGCGATGGATAATCAGCAAGATCAGAGATATGCAAACAATACGATGGATCAGGTGAACCCTTTTTTTTTTTTTTTTTCAGTTTGGAGTTTTTGCTACTTTTTTTTTTTCGTTGATCTGAAAAGAAAGGGAATATAGAATTGGTCGTTGCGATTTGCGAGAGAGACGGGTGGGGGAATTGGGAGTTGGGAAATTGGAATGTATGGACACAAAATCCACTTCTGTATATTTACCTAAAATTCATTTTGTTTTTGTGGATAAAATTGATCTTTTCAGTTTAAAAAAAAAAAAAAAAAAAAAAAACTAAAATGGGAAAATAACAATAAAAAAGTTGATTATATAATGATTTGAAGAATTCGTTGTGTGCTTTGGGGGTTTTGACCGTCCTTTTATACTTTGCACGACTTTGTTTACCAATTTTGTCGGAGAGTGCGTAATGATACTGATCGCCATGGCCAAACGGGTATTAACATCGATTGGTATTCTTTTTTCCCTTTTCAAAGGCAATTGTTTCTAACTTACTAACCAAAATTAAATTCTAATCTTATTTAAGGATAGGAGGATTAGTTGATGGATTCTAAAACTTGTAGTTGTTTGGTAGGAAATGTTAGGGAAAAAAAAAAGATTACAGGTTCATAATTATTAATAAAAATTATTCTAAAATATTAGTCTTTAAATTTTGTTGACGGTGCTTTTCCGGCAACTCGTAATTACTTCTCCGGGAACGCTCACGGTTGCGCTAACCACTGAATCAAGTAATAAGCGGCAAAACAATGTAGAAGAGACAACGATTTTATAGTGGTTCGACAATAATTTTGTGCCTAATCCACTTGTGCATGCACTATTTTCTCAGATGTTTACAAGTTTTCTCTCTGTAATACCAATGGTGTCTAACCCTTTTCTGGGTTTCGTTCGTTCTATTTATAGGCCTCTACATGCGATTACATATTCCCGGCTCCCAAGGAGGAAGCCATCTTCTGTTCTCGATCCTCGTGAGGGTAGGTGAGTTTTCATGATGACTTTTCCTAGAAATACAGCTGATCCTCTCAACCTGCCGCCTGATTTCCTAACTTCTGCAGTAGCAGTCGGATCAATACTTCCCTCCTCGGGTTGACATGACTTCTGGCAAAAAGGACCGACAATGTTCCCTCGACGCAGCGATCTCAGCACGTAGAGCCCTCGCCCGGCGCCTCTCCTCTTGCGCGATCTCTCAACGCATAGGGCACGTTTGCTATGCCTTACCGTCGATGCCAACAGCCGGTCCTCCGCGGGGAGTCCTCGGCGTCGGTCGTTCGAAGGAATGGTCGATGTCTCGACCATGGTGTAATAATTACCCCTAGACTAGAATGTCGTGGTGTGACTTTCCTGGCTATACAGCGTCGAGGATGCCGCCTGGAAAGGGACATTTCTGCGGTTTAGGACTACTGCTCGCGAGTATTGTGATCATTGCGGCTGGTTTCTCGGGCAGTGGAGCAGTCACGTCGATTGTACGAACCGTCACGTCCTCATTTCCCTAACGCCACGTGGGACGGGGGGATGAATTATCACCGTCGGATCAAGTCCTTTCCTGTTGCTCTCTCCCCAGCCGCTCGATCATGCCTTCTCGGATCCACCATCGGATGAGACCGATTCAAATTCTACGGTCGAGATCTGGAGCCCTTTGGACTCCTCGAAGACCCCTTGACTTCCTCTCTTGCGGGTATATATACCCCCTTACCTTTGCATTTCTGACTACCGAGCTTTCAAGACGCCATTACTCTGCCGGATTTTCCCCTGAGCCGTTTCCTCCGTGCATCTTCCGTGTTTGAACCGTCCATCGTTCTCAGATTCGAGCATCCTCCAACTCCGGTAAGTCCTTATTCCCCATGTTCTTCCCCGTGGGTCCGGTCGCCTCGTCTGCGACCGTCGCATCGAAATGTGTTGCAAATAAGAGGGGGGGGGGGGGGGAGCGGCCTTGCCGGGTGCCGCCGGCCTTACGCCGACGGCGGGGCTGGCAATGTCCGACCTCCTGGGTGCCGTTGAGGCCCTCGGACTTGGCTCTGAGCCTCCGTGGCTTGCGATGTAGTATGTTTTTCTCTTACCTTGCGCTTTGGACATCTCGACCGCTAGGAGCTAACTCCCTCTTTGCCTTTCATTTTCAGAACATGTCGTCAAAGCAAGTTAGAGGTCTAGAGGTCGAGAGGTTTCCGAGCATAGGGTCAGGGAAGACCCCGAGGACGTCGCTACCTCCAGCACGTCTTTGGGCGGAAGCGGGGATTCCCTACTTCGCCAAGTCGAGGAGTACGTTGATGTGTCTGCCTCGTCTTCCCAACAAGACGCACTCGTTCTCCTTGACGACGAGGGTGTCGACCCGCAGGCCGGCTCTCTCGGGCGTCAAGGGTATGGGGCTGCGCCCACAAATACTCTTTCAGGGCTGGCCACAGACCTCGACCCATCCAAGATCAGGCCCCACGCCGCTAGAAAGGCATTCATCGACGCAGGGATCGACCCTCTTCACTTCTACCTGATCATTCCGACCCCCCACGACAGGGCGCATAACCCTCCCCCCGGTCATATGACCGTGTACACCCGGGCACTTACCTTTGGGCTAACCTTGCCCTTCCACCCCTTTGTGAAGGCTTTCTGCGGCCTTCACAGGATCTCACCCGCACAATTGTCACCCAATTGTTGGGTGACAATAAACTCCATGATAATATTGTGGAGGAAAATTTTGAGCCTCGACTTCAGCGTCGAGGAATTTTTGTACTGCTACTCCCTTCAGGCTTCCCCTGGGCAGAGGGGATTCTTTTACATAGCTTTCCATGCTAAGTCCAAACCTCCTGTCCCACCTGTGGTCATCGGGAAGACCACCAGTGCCCACGGGTGGAAACCCCAATTCTTCTTCCTAGGGGTAATTTTAACTCTTACCCCCTCGACGGCGAGCGACCGGTGGGGACACAGACAATATTTAGCAAATACTGTAGGTTTCTTCGCCTTTTTCCTCTCTCACAGGTTTCTGTGCAGCTGTCGAGCCTTCTGACGATGTTTCAATCTCGCAGGTGAAGAAGTCGACCGTCCGACGCTCCCAGCATCCGCGCTTGCTCGCGTCGAGAAGATACTGTCGCTTTCCCCTGACCGTCGGTGTGCCTTTGTTCTCAACACAAAGGAGAACCAACAACTGTACGGCCTCATCGTCGATCTTCCCGCCCCACGTCGACCCGTTGCCCCTCCCGCCGATCTCTTCAGCGGTAAGTCGGGTTTTTCTCGTCTCTTTTTTTTTTAGCGAAGCCCGGGGGGCGTAGTCGAGGTGTTCCTGAATTGACTCTTCATTTTCTGCGTAGCCGTGCCATCCGAGATGAAGTACAGCATCCTCATCAAGCCGAAGAAGAGCACGACCGGTGCAGGATCGAGTGGGACGTCGAGTCAGCACACGGCCGAGGCTGCTGTCTTGCCGGGCGCCGCTGGGACCCCTAGGAAGGGGGTATTCA